CAAAATTATTTGGAGAAAGAATAGCTTATGAAAATCCTAATGTTATTACATTTATTTTAGCTGAAATATATTATGGATAAGGTATTTGAACTATTAAAGGCAACCACAGTAGCCGACAGTCATGTCGTAATATCTCTTAAATTTGAACCTTGTAATAATTGAGACCTGTTTTGGTGATCACCGTCAGAGAGCATCACTGGATTGTGTTGGGATAGTTTGGTTTGGCATGGTGATAATGAAATAAATTATTATGATGTTCAACAAGAATATTAACTAAAACACTTTTAACCTTGTATTTAATAGAATAAATCTTACATATACATTATATCTTCAGTATGATTTTGTGTTAATGTCACTCCTATTTGGGGGCCCAGAATATTAACATACTTCCTCCTTGGGCCTGATTTCCTTACTGTCTTTTCCGAGAAGGGGACTGTAATGTGCAATACCGGTTCCTGTTTTCACCCTGAAGCACATTAAAATAAAAGCACGGTCATCTACCTGCAAGGGAATTACTTTTTTGTTCAGAGGATAGCAGACTTGAATTGGTTTGACTACATATACACACGTCACATCAGTATAATCATTGGGCAATAATAATTACTTTGTAACTAAGTACTAACTTCTCCACTTAAGTAGGCTACAGTTCGGAGGTATCATGGTCTACTTTACAAGATCATTTTTATTTAATGGTTAATGTATACTATATTAAATACTTCTACTCCTTTACATTTCAGATTTAAACTCCACTACATTTATCAGTTGTTACTGTTAAAATATATTTAGCATTATATAACGTTGCATAGCTACATAATTATAAGTTGTATGTATCATGTTGTCATATGTTCAAATAATAAAATAAAACCGGTGCAACCTTAAAGTTGCATATTACTGCTTAAGTACTAATGATGCAATTATTTAAAATAAAAACTGTCGTTGGCAATTCCCCTTGCATGAAGAATAATTGTATATCATTTATGTATTGATATCATTTTTTAATTTGATTTATGTATTCATTGTATTTTTACTTGTCATTTCTTTATTGTCATAATTTTTTATGAATTCATATAACCTTTTAAAAATTATAATTATTTAATTTATTATTATTTAATTTAATATTATTTGTTGTTATAATTGTTATTGTATTTATTATTAGTATTTTATTATTGCTTTTATTTGGTATAATTATTTGTATTTAAGTTTGTTTACCCCTATGTTTTTTTCCGGTCCCCCGGAGGACTATGACTCAGTTTATAGATTTTTTCAAATGTAATTTTATTATTATTTTATTTTTCATAATTATTATTCTTTCTTTTTATTATGTTTGACTTTTTTAATTAAATTATTTATTGTATTGTTTTAATTAAAATATGTTATTATTATTATTATTATTATTATTTGTATATTATATTATGTATGTTTTTAATATACAGTACATTACATGTTACGCAATACTGTGGGAAGTCCCCACAGGAGCAATTTTGGGGACACAGCGATATGCTGACTGCAGTGGGGATTGAGCCAGTCCTCCCCTGATCCGAAGGTCACCGCACTAACCCACTGAATTATTATTATTTGTAATCTTATTAATATTTTATTGTATTTTATTTTATTTTTTACCACTTTTTTATTTCCGTGTATTTGTACAATTATTTAATTGTATTTGTTTTATTTTATTGAAAACATATATTATTATTTTTAGTGTGGGGGGGGGGGGGGGGGGGGGGGCATCTACTGTACTCTGTTCACCCTTGAGCAACCTTGACTGCCCTTGACCCACACACGCATGCCATGCTGGGTGGCAAACCACCAACCCTTGGTTGTTAGGCATCCATTTACCCCTTCAGCCTAAGACACCCACATATTCCAGTCAAATTCCACACGATTGGCTTCTACGTTTATTAGGGTTACAAGGCGACACAAAGATATTGTTAAAGAACATTTGTTTGAACTTATCGCCAGAAGTAACCATCAATCTTTCACATCTGTTCCAGAAAAACCAGGATACCAGGACGTGTGGAGCCGGGTTTCCTGAACATGTCATTAGTGAAAAGTGGATTTAAGCCTCTAAACTTTACCTAACTTCAGTTTTTTCTTTTCTATTTATTTCACTTCAATTACCACAGCCTCTTTATTTCCATAAGATATGCAATGGAGTTTGCCATTTTGCCTCTCACATATTGGGGATTTGAACCGCTGACCCCCACATTGGTAGGTATCCATTTACTCCGTGCGAAATCAAAGATATTGTTGAAGACACGTGCACAACTTGCAGAGCAATTGAAAGTACAATAGTTATAAATGTGGTCGTATCCACAGAATAGGCGACCAAGCAGAACAACACTGTGTGAAACACGCACAGACACAGAAATGAATAAACATATTAATGTTCGTAAAAATAAATGTAGAAATACATCAAATATATGTGTGTTCTGTTTTATTCTCAACTTATATTTTTGTAGTTATACATTTATTTATTTAGTGTTTATTTATTCCTGTATTTATTTCTAAATGTATTTATTTCAGTTTTTTTCACATTTATTTATTCCTGTATTTATTCTGTATTAAATATGCATGTATTTATGTGTTACTTATGTAATGTTCTGTCCTCAATACCTGGCTGCTCGTTGAGTGCATAAAGGCATATTATTATAATTCACTCACAATCACAGCAAGACCTTTATTTGTGCTTTCGTGGTTTTTAAAAACACACTGGTGGTCCAGAGGTCTATGCATTGGTTCTTCATGCAGGTGCTTGAGGTTCAACACCCAAGGGGAGGGGGCATCTTGTCTCCTCCTATGCTGATGATATGGAGAAATTGTCCCTGCCACAGTTTTTTACAAAGTGATGCCCATGGTAATGACAAAGAAAACCTTCACAGATCAGTAGAAAGCATCGGTTAATTAATAATGGGGATTTCTGCCTGTTTAACACACTTTGACCTACAGGGGGGTTCAGATGAAGCCTCATGAGATGAACCCTTTTGAGAACCAATTGGCTGGAAAGCTTCATAAGGCTTCATCTCGCCATCACTAGTACTACTACTACTTCTACTACAATTATTACTAATACTTCTACTACTACTCATACTAAGGTCTTTCCTTCCCAGCGGTCAGACTAAACAGCCACCACTGCCCCTTGTAGACCACCACACACAACAACTCGGACTATAACAACAATATTGTTCAATACTATATTTAAATGTTACTGCTGTAACAACAATATTGTCACATACAACTGTGCAACTTATACTTATATACTAGGAAATATAGTATTTACTACTGTCATTCTCCGGCTACTTTATTACTTTCTACTTGTTCACTTTTTATAATGCTGCTACTTAACTTTTTGTTCTTGAAATGTTTAATTATTATTATGTGCTCACCTCACTAAATACTCTTCACTTTACAAAATATTGTTTTTATTGTTTTGTTATATGATTATGTACTTTCTTGTGAAGTTGGTGTGGAACTGTAACCGGAAGTGCACGCGGTTGTTGTTGGGACATTTCTCACTGCTGCTGCTGCTCGCGCTGTTCTGTGATCATGGCTGCACTGGACCACACCAGCCATGTTTGCTAATTTAAAACCCAAAGGTTAGGCAAATAGTTGTTTATTATTGACCGATGTGCCATCTTCACCCGAAATCAGTTTAGACGAAGGTTTAGATGCGTCTGCGCTTTCGGTATCCCGGGACTGAAAAAGGTTGGATAGCTTTAAGTGTAAATATGAGAGAAACTTTTGATGGTGGTGGTGTGGGTGGATGATGCTCTGTAAAATTGTACTCTGTGTGCGTGCAGCGTAAACAATGTAACTTCATCTGGCTGCTAGCTAACGTTAGCCCGTGAACAAAAGGGAAGCACGCCTCCCATCTGTTATCAAGCGAGCGTGAGAGGGATAACGTTGGTGGCTATCAAAATACCGGATGATATTTATTTTCCTCCGCGGTGTTCTCTCTATCGACAATGGGCATCATGGTTCCCCACCAGCGTGGTTGCGGTACCTTCTACCTGGCTGCTAGCTAGCATCGCAGTTTAAGTAACGTACTTACTCTGGTTGATGGTGCTATTAGTTAGCTACTACCTAGCATCGCAGTTTTAAGGAACGTACTTACTCCGGTTGATGATGCTATCAGTTTAGCTACACGCTATCGTTTGTTAGCTAGGTTCTTTTGTGATGATTTAGCTATATAACCTTGGAGCAGGAGCAAGGAACATTTTACGGTAAAGTTATCAGTACTGTCCAACCTTTTTAATAAATGAAATATATATAACGTTTGAACTGTTAGTTGTTAGCTGACTAGCATAGCTTTAAAGTGAAATGTTCATCTGAGATCGCAGCTAGCGCGACTTAGCTAACGCGGCTTCTGCAAGGGCCTCGATGAATTAGGAAATATGTACAGAGGGTTACTTTTGTACTACGAGTGTACGTAGCTATTTAACAGTGAGTGGTGGTGTAACAGTGCTTGAGGCCTTTGCGTGACTGTAAAATATGATCGCTAATCCCTCCATTGTTACTTGGCCGATGCCACCGGGTCTCGGATACAGTATGTGTGTGGTTATGCCTTTCTGTGTTTGGGCCGTACATTTATAATGGCAGATCGAGGAGGATGTGCTCATATTAGCGGAGCCTCATCAGCGGCATTGATGAGCTTCTCTCGCAATATTCCGGTTGTCCATTACGGCTCACTGCTCGGGCCTGGCATCTGCTGTTTCTGCCTGGCTGCGACATTTTGACGGTTGTTGTTGTTGGAACGAAATTGTGCTGTCTCAAGCTTTGGTTGCCAAAATCATTTAGGATTACAAAAAAAATCGTACACATTACGTAGCGTCTGCCAGGCTTCATGGGAATAATTTAAAGGATACATTTGTAGTTCACATGGTGATGTTTATTGTGCACTTAGCCCCGTGAATCAACTGCTTCCTCTTCTATGCATTTTACTGAATGGATGTTGGAGTGTATTTTTGTATTTAGTTTTTTATTTTCTTTATGATTTTCAGATGGACTCAAATAATCATTTAAACTATAGTACCAACTCCTCAGCAAACTCAGGACTGAAACTCTCCTCAGGGGATTCTCTTTATTCTAACGGGTCCTCCATGAGTTTTTCTCAGCAGGGGAAGAGTGAGTATTTAAGCCTTTTGCACTTTATGTACTTAATAGTCACTTTCTCTTTCACCCTCTAACCATGCGAATGTTTGTATTCTAAACAGACATGAATGGCGAAATGAATGTGAATGGCGTCACTACTGTACACGGGTCCGGTGCGCCTGGTTCCCACCCCCCAACAGCTCCTTACCCACACATGAGCAACCACCACCAGAGCAGCATGGGCTATGACTACTTGTGGGCAGGACACCCTCAGTATGGTCCAGCCATGGGGCCTCTCCTGGGCACGGGATGCCCCAGAAGCAGCCTGCCCCTGGGATGGGGCAGCCTCAGTCACAGCACCACTTCCAGGGTCATGGACAGTACCAGCTCAACGGGGGTATTGAAAGCTCCCACCAGCCCTCTGGAGCAGGACCACCAAACATCCCTCTTCCTGGGAGTCAGTACTGGAACAGGAGTAACCCTGGCCCACAGCAGATAAGTTATAATTCCCAGAGTATGTATGGGACCTACCAGAGTCCGGCACATCCTGGAATTACACCGTCACAACACCACCAGCAACAGCCGCCCTCACATCCAAACGTCACAGCAGCATCTCCAGTCCCATTCGAAACCCACACCACCACCACCAGCAGCACCAGCAACCACAGCATTATGGCCTGTTGCCTAATGGGATGCCCTTCTACCAGCATCCACCACAGCACCTGTCTTCACAGCAGTCTCTGCCCCAAGGCCAAGATCAGATGATTCCCCCAGCGGCCCAGAATTTTACTCCTCCACGTGATAGCCCACAGCACCACAGTTTAGGAAGTGGCAGTGGCAGCGGCAGCCCCCTCCACATGGGGATGTCCTCCTCACCACTAGCGTCACCGTCTACAGTGCAGGAGTGTGAATCACCCAAGAGCCACAGCAGGGAACGGAGCCCACATGCTAGCAATGTGGGAAAATCTACTGTCATGCAAGGTGACCATTTTACACTTATCTTTCATATCAACATGTTATACATTTTATCTGCTTTTGTTTGTAAACATGAACAAAATTAACACACTATCCATTAAGAAAAGCTAAAATAAGGAAAAATGTAATGGGTAAAATAAACAAAAAACCTGCCCCTAACCAAAACAAACTCAAACATAACTAGTTTTGATAAACTCTCACCTAGTACTACTAACCTGAATAAACTAGCAAACACACTTAAAAATCTAAAAAAAGTTAAATTTTGACACAACTGGTATTTATCAGACTTTTATTTCCTCATTAATTAAACTGTCCTTTACTTTACATTTCCTCATTTAACGCTACCAATTGAATGCTACTTGTAGTCATATGGTCTTCTTCCTCTTTTTTGCATACTTGGCCTATCTATCCAAGCTTCTGTTAATATTATAACGTCACACTCATTTTTGTGGACTTATAGACAAAACTATTATTCTAAAGACGTGTAAGGAAATGATTGAAAATACAAGTAATGTTAGGTTTCGTCACTACTGGTGTATCTTGCACATGAATGCTGCGCTCAGCTGTGGGGGATGGTGCCAAAAATCAACCAGCAGGTGCCACTGTTGGATACTTGACCGTGACCATCCAATGCTTTAATACATAATTCACTCAACAGCCGTCATCATATAATAACACTTAACAAGCTTATGTTTTAATTATTTTATTTATTCTCTTCACTTTCAGGCAATACAAGAGAACCTGCCAAGGAGGTAGACACAAGCTATAACGGCATGGAAAGGTCACCTGTTGCTCAGAGGCCCAAAGGTGCGGCTCACGTGGGACCTGATGTTCGTCAACCTTCTGAACAACAGCCAGCAGCTCGGCGTCGAGAAATGGCCTCCCCTGTCAGGGAGACAGCCACTGATACGCCTCCTTACTCTGTGTCATCTCAGCTCTCTGAATCTACCAAGGCCTCGACACCCCCTCGGGTCCCTGCAGCTCCTGCTGCCTCAGAGTCTCCCGCATCATCCCCTGAACCCCCTATAGTGTCATCCCCCAAGGTGTCCTCTGCTCCATCTTCAGCTGCTCCCCCCAGACTTTCTTCACCTCCTCCTTTGAAGCAATGCCCCAGGCCCTCCTCTTCTGCTGCGAGCGAGACATCCCCTGCTGGTTCCAAGCCACTGTCAGCGGGTTCTTCCCCCTCCTCCCTGCCGGCATCACCTCAAAAATGGTCCAAACAACTTGCTTCGACTGATGGCGTGTCTAAACAAGCAGTAGTTTCCTCTGCCTCTCCTCCTTCATCAGACTCTGTTGCTCATCAAACAAAGTCTTCTTGGCCTCGTTTATCTTCTGGGCCTCCCACAGCTTCACCCATCTCATCTCTTCAACATATGGTTCAAGGGTCCAAGCCATCTCTGATGCCTGGACCCCCAAAGTTAATATCTTCAGTTCCGTCAGTTGGTGCAAAATCCTTATCGGCTGGTGTTGCTCCACCTCTACTGTCAGCATCAGGATCTTCAACCTCAACACCTCCTGGCTCTCGTTTATCAGTACCCCCCATGTCTGTGTCAAAAACTCCTTCAGTAATCAGTAGACCTCCCACATCCCGGCTTCAGACCTACACTCCTCCAGCTGCTGACTCTGGTCTTTCCACTGCTTCTGCAGCATCTTCACCACCAGGAGTGGTGAACTTATCCTCCCCAGTAGCCCACGAAAGTCTTACAGTGCGACCTCTGTCTACCCTACCTCTTCTAACCACTCAAGCCTCCAGGACTGCACCTGTGTCCGCCCCTCCTGCCTTGGTGTCTGTGCCCTCAGCAAAGGGTCTTTCTTCTGGAGTGGTTCAAAGCCCCGACTCTGAGCAGCGTCCTCCTCATGCACTGAAGCATTCGTCTCTCAAGCCAGAGCACCACGCTCATAGTGAGGATAGGAAATTGATGCCTTACAAAAAAAATGGAAGACCAGAGGAACTCCCCCCTCGACGTGATTTGGGCAACATAAGAGCATCACAGCAGGGGGAAGCTACTGAAACTGATAAATCTGATATCCGCTCACCCAAATATCTCACTGATCTTCCTGGGAAACCCTCGCAGACCACAGTCGCTTCTGATCAAAGGCCCATAAAGAAACAGACAGCTTCTGAAAGTCAGCCCATGCAAAGCAGTTTCTGTGACACAGAGGACTCCATGCTGGAGCAGACTCCACTCAGGAAGTCTTCTCATCTGCACAGCACACGGATAAAACACTTGACTGATGAAGAAAGTTTTGATGACTCTTCACGAACGGCTTCGAAATTTGAAGGCGATTCCACCTTTGACAGCCCCTCTAGAATTGATGTCAGCTCTGCCTTTGAAAAGACTTCTGATGTGGATGAGGATAGCTCAGGTGTGGACGACTCCTTCCAGTTTGACAGTAGCTTCCATCTGAGAAAGGATACCTCTCAGTTTGACAGCTCTTTCCATGCAGATGAGGAACCATCCACTGCGTTTGACACCACTAGAGATAGCAGCTGTTCTGCTGAAGACTCCAGAGATGACACGCTGGACTCCACCAGGGGAGGGGAAACGTCTGAGGCCGAAGAGACTCAGGACAGCTGCCAAATCACAGGAGGATCCATGCTGGAGTCTTCTCTGAACAACACCTCTCAGATGGAAGATACCTCTGTCGACTCCAGTGACGTTTCCTACTCGCGCTCATTTGTGGCATCTCAGCCAGATCGCCAAGGTACATTTATAAAGTTCATGATCATGGAAATAAGAATCTCACCCTGAATAAAACTTTTTTATTTTTCAAATCAAATCAAATCAAGTTTTATTTATATAGCACATTTTTTTAAACGATTTTTGGTCGAGCCAAAGTGCTGTACATATAATAAAAATACCCTACAGTAAAGACACTTTACAGCTAATACAACAGCACAGTTTGTTCAAAATATCAGTATGAGAAAAAACGACACCCTCTGTCCTTAGACATTTCTTCCATTGTCAACAAATACAAATGTATTTATTAATTCAGAAGAATCTTGTTTTAGTTTTCTATGTCATTGTGTGTATTCTTTTTTCAGTAAAAAAGAAAAGAAGAAAAATCTTCTTAATTATGCTAGCACATATTAAATCTTCTTGTTTTTTCATCTCAGGACCTGAAGCAGAAGGGGGGCCCAGAGGACATGATACACCAGACTCAGCTGGACGCATTAGCATTAAGACCAGTGTTGATGAGACAATGACTCTCCCGAGTTTCAAGATGAGAGACGAGAACTTTATCGCCTTCAGTACCCCAGCAGAGAGCCCTGCTGTACACCCACTCCAACCAGTACCTGATCCAAATGTGTCCCCCGCTGGAGGACATGTGAAAACCCCAGGGAAACAACGGAAACCTCGAACTCCAAAGGCATTATGGATTAAAACCCCAGGTATTAGAGATTATGTTTTTGAACAAAATTGTAAACTTAAACGTTTAAATATTACATTTTATTTAAAACGTTTCTTTTCCTTATTATTTTAAGCGCCAGAGGGGGCCCAGCGGAAGCCTCGGGGTCGAACCCCGAAGGCAGAGAAGATGAAGACTGAAGAGGAAGGCAATAAACAGGAGGTAGCCAAGGGGAGGAAGAGGAAGAAGTCTCTCAAGTTGGATGTTCAGGAAACATCAGATGTTACTAGAGAGGTCGATACCGTCACAGCCACTATTGAAGCTGTTCTAGCAAACGCTTCAGCTATTACTACAATGTTCGAGAAACCCAAGAAGGCAAAAAGGGTCAAGAAACAAGACCAAGAAGGAAATGTGGCAAAAATACGGAAAGATGCCGAAACGACTGCTGATGATGTTGAGGAAAATGATGATGACAGCTCCACTGCAGGTCATTACTTGTTTTGTAAATGGGGATCCACATTATGTAATGGCAATTGTAAAGAGATGATATACAATAATAAGGTTATTCTAAACCTGATTGTGTCCATTTTATTCAACAGGTGAATCTCGACAGAGAAGGGTTGCAACTGAAGAGCAAGTGCAGTTCCCAATGCAGCATGGGTAACGTTCCCTTCGTGGATTTGTCTTCATCCTATTGATACAACACATTTTGGTCTCAGTGTGTACAGTGTTAACATATTGTTCTGTTGTAATCATGAACCCTGTCAACTGTAGTTGGAAGAGAGAGATTCGAGTGAAGAAAATGGAGGACCGCATGAAAGGTGAAACCTGGTACTACACACCTTGTGGAAGGAGGATGAAGCAGTTCCCCGAAATAATCAAGGTGAAGCTTCAATTCAATATAAAACATGATGTATTGATAATGTCAAAACACTGACATTTCTCTCATACCTGTTTCCTAATTGTTTCTTCCAGTACTTGAATAAACACACAGACAGCATCGTCACTAGAGAACATTTCAGCTTCAGCCCGCGCATGCCTGTTGGAGATTTTTATGAAGAAAGAGAAACTTCTGAGGTCTGTATATTTTTTTTCCCTAAAAATACTCTTTTTTTTTAAAGACAAAAGTCAAATCATTCACACTTCAAAAATACCTTGTATCATAAATTATAAAATGGGTAGAGGGGGACTCATCATGCTCTCTAATATGTTACAGGGTAAAAAGTGGGTCGTCTTGGCGAATGAGGAGGTTCCCTCGATGATCATGGCCATCACTGGCCGCCGGGGTCGACCTCCAAACCCTGACAAGGAGACGCCTCGCAGGGTCCGGGTCATAAAGGGGGGGCTGGCCCGTCGCCCGGGTCGACCCCCCAAACCCAAGATGATCGACCTCCTCAGCAAAGTTGACGCCAAGCTTTTGAATCGACTTGAGGCCAAGGGTGAGTGAATGTAAACGGGAAGAAGCATTAGTGTACAGGGATATGGTTATAGCTGGTTAGTTAAATATTTATCATTTATTTATTAATACCTATCACATTTACCTCTGTAATTTGTTTGTACTGTAGCTGACTGTTTGTGTTTGTGTTTTCTAGAAGCTCTCACGGAGGAGGAAAAGGAGAAAATTGCAAAAATCAAAAAGAAAATGAAGAAAAAGGTATTTCATTTAGTATATGAAGTTGTTTGTTTAACCCTTAGATGCACGAGTGACTGGACCCTACACTCTTCCATAAGTGGGTCAAAAAGGACCCGTATTAGAATAATATGTGTTTTTATGCCATTTTTGTCATCTTGGTTAAGAAAAATCACTTTTTGGTTCACACCATATTTAATTTTTCACTATTTATAATTTTAGACATTTGTTTTACATTTTGAAAAAAAAAACGCTTTGAACATATTATGCAAAGATCTCCGCTATTCTGAGACCCTCACAGTATTCCAGTCCCTTTTCAAAACTCATCTCTTCTCCTCTTGTCTACTCATAGCCCACCCCCCATCAATCCATGCCGGTTGATCAAGTTTGATAGTCCTATACCCCCCATCCTAACCTTCCCTTATATTGTAAAGCGATTTTAAGTCCTTGAAAAGCCCTATAAACATATAATGTATTATTATTATTATACTGACAGGTATCAGAGCTTGCTGTGTAAAATAATCTTCCTGAGAGGTGTCACTTGTGATGTAGTCTGTGTGGTCTACAGTGAATGTATTCCTGACAGCAACAGGTGATGAGAATCAAAGGTTCCCAGAGAACCCACATTTTTGACTCACTTATGGAAGCTTGGGGTAATAATACAAAAACGACATTACTAATTTCTTAAAATGTAAATTAAACATTTGAATGGCATGATATCCAAAACATGTTTTTTGAGGAATAGCTGGAATATGAAATGATAACATTTTTTAATTACAAAGATACTTCAAGAAAACCACCTCACCGGGTCAAAAAAGACCCACTTATGCATCTAAGGGTTAACTATTATGTTGTTGACATTTTACCCTAAATGTGTTGCTGTTTATTTTATTAGGCACGATTGAGGAAGAGGGAGGATACAAAGATTAAGAAGATGAAAGTGGAAAAAAGGAAAGCCAAGGTACAGACAAAGGTTCAACACAAAATGAACTATCAGCATTTTCCTCTGCACCATCTCTTCCTCACCTCAACCTGTTCTCCCTTTTAATTTGTGGGTTCAGCTTGAGCAAGCAGCCAAGGACTTGGAGCTGAAGGCTGACTCATCAGACCCCACAGCCCCTCTGCCAGCCCCAGGGTCTGCTGCAGCGCCCAAGAAGCCCGGCCGCAGGAGGTCAGCCAAAGTGGAGGCTCCTCCACGAGTGCAGCAGACCGACGAGGAGCGGATAGCGCAGGGTAAGAGAGTGCTGGGCGCTCGGAGTAAAGCCAAGGCTCTGGCTAAAGCCCAGGCAGAGGCTGAGGCGACGGCTCAGAAGGTGCAGGCAGTGAAGAGGGCAGCCGAGAGGAGGGTGCAGGTCCAGAGACGTCTGGAGGAGAGGAAGAGGCAGCAGATAATCGCAGACGAACTGAAGAAGCCCACAGAAGACATGTGTCTCACTGACCACAAAGTAAGTTTTGTGTTTACCTTATTCTACTTTATTAGCAATGTGATTGAAAAGATTGTACTTATGAACTTTGAACTTTGTCTCCATCAGCTGATGCCAGAGCTGTCCCGTATCCCGGGTTTGGTTCTTTCTGGAAAAGCTTTTGCACACTGCCTGGCTGTGGTTGAGTTCCTACATGGCTATGGGAAGTTGATCGGTCTCAATATACCCAAGGACATCCCCAGCCTTGCTACCCTGCAGGAGGGCCTCTTAGGCCTGGGCGACAGCCACGGAGAGTTCCAGGACCTAGTCATAAAGCTGATGGAGGCTGCGCTCCATGATCCAGGCCTGCCGTCATTTTATCAGGTGAGTGATGAGTATTTTCTCCTTTTTTTTATTCATTACATCACATGAAGAGTGGTGGACCTTTTTTAATCAACAGTTTATTTTTTAATCCCAACTTTTAGTCGGTAAAGATCCTCGGGGAAAAGCTGGTTGATTTGAAGCTGACCCGCAGCACAGTCTCAGAAGTGCTTCGCGTCTTTTTGGAAGCTCATGGTTATGAGACAGAAGTGTGCGACACACTGAGGACCAAAACCTTTCACGCCCTGTCCCCTGACACCAAGGCGTCCATCCTGGGGTTCCTGGTGGACGAGCTCAACAGCAGCAACATTGTGATAAGGTCAGAACAAACACTTATTACAAGTGCTGTAGGATTTACTGTAGATACAAATCTGTTAATGCCACATTTCTGTTGCTTCATTAATGTCTGCATTTTATATTTCAGTGACATTGACAACACATTAGAAAACATGGCAACATACAGGAAGAACAAGTGGATCATTGAGGGGAAGTTGCGGAAGTAAGTTCATCAGATTACTCAGATATTTTCTGTAGTTGAAGGACATGTTGATCCTGATTGTTTTCTCCCTTGCAGACTGAAGGCAGCACTAGCTCGTCGGACAGGACGCTCGGAGGAAGAGCTGTGTTTTGAGGAGAGGAGGCGCAGTGCCAGAGTGGCCGAGGAAGAGACCCTCAGTCTGGAGGAGGGTGGCCCAGCCTCGGAGAGAATCAACCGCCGCGCACGCAAAGAAGAGCCCAAAATCAGTGATGTAAGTATCTGCTGTTGTGATTGCTCAGTATGAGAGTTTAGTCTTTCCTATATTAAATGTTTATCTATTCTATTACAGAGTGAGAGCCCTACCACTGCCAGCATTCCAGAGCTTGAAAGGCAGATCGATAAGCTAGCCAAGGTAAGCCTGACGCAACAGAGACGCAGTTCTTTAAACATTCGTGCCGCTTTATATTAAACATTCCTCTGCTTTTGGATCTCCACAGCGCCAAGCATTTTTCCGTAAGAAGCTGCTGCAGTCATCTCATTCCATGCGGGCCGTACTGCTGGGCCAGGACCGTTACCAGCGTAGATACTTGGCGCTACCTCACCTCGGAGGAGTTCTGGTCGAGGGGCCAGAGGAGCTGTTGAGTGAGTCTCAGAATAAATCTAAAAGAGATCTTATGACTTGCATTTGAAAACTTCTTCTAAACTGAACTTATATTTCTATCATTTAGCTTCTGGAGATGTCCTTGTGGCCGAGGTTCCTGTCAACTTCCTCAAAAAGGAGCTCAAAGTTGAGGAGACCTCCATGCCTACATCTCCCCCTCCTACTCTTCCTTCTTCTCCTTCCTCCGCTGCCCACGCCCAGACCTCGTCTCCAGAGGAGGACGCGCTCCCTGGCACGGCGTCCCTCATGAGCATGCCAAGAGGACGAGGACGCCCACGCAAAATCAAACCAGAAGTGGAGCTTCACCTCCGCACAGCGAAGATCCGCCGGCGGCGTCGAAGCAGCGCCAGGTCGGGGGGGGAAGAAGGACCGGGATCACCAAACAGTGGCACACACGACCTCACACAGGTGGCTTTCAAGAGCTGGCTCAACCTATCTCAGGACGGAGTGACCAACGGCGCATGCTCCGCATCAGGAGACGCTCCGGAGGGTAATCGACCGGAGGAGACGGTGAAGGAGATGGCGGAGAAACAGGGACAGTGGTTCAACCTGCTTCCCAAACAACCGTGCGACGAAAACTCTCTGACCGAGCCGCAGACCCCCAGCTCACCGCCTAAACCCCTCCCTCAGATCCTGAGTGCTCTGCCACAACTCACTGCTCCACTCCTGAAGGTTTGCTTTCACATTCATAACTATAAATGCATTTAATTATGCTTTAAGAATGCATAGATGAATAGATAGATGGTTCGATGTACTTTATTAAATTCAACTTGGGAAATTATTTTATGACAGCAGCAGCAGGCATTGCACACGAGTAAAAAGTAATAAATAAACAGTAATTATATACATAGAAACAATAGCAAGATGTATATTATTACAGTATCTATAGATTATATAAAGTCATAAGTTAGAATACACTATAATAGACTAACAACAAATATATAAACGTCTGATACTATATACATAGGACAAGTATGCATAGTAGTAGCGGTCCTGTTTTTAAATATTTAAATACAATGAGGTAGAGGGATTTGTTTCTTTTTATGTGGTCTTTAAATAAATATATATATATAAAAACTCCTCAGCCGGACCCTCTCCTGCCTGGCCTGACCCCTGCTGACCCCGTCACCCCGGCAACACCACAGGACGCTGCCCCCACACTACCTGCTTCTGATGTTCCTGCTGCAGCACCCCCCCTCTCTCAGCCTCTTTCAGCTCCCATCCCTCCTGCCAAGCCCGGTCCAACGACCCCCCCCAGGCCCGGTCGCAGGCGGAGGAGAGGGAGCAGAGGCAGCAGTCCTGCCCGCAGGGGGCCGAGGGGGGCTGCAGCCAAACGCCGCGGCCGTCCCTCTAACTCCGTGTTCCAGGAGATCGAGCAGCAGTACTTCACACAACTGGTGGCCAAGCCCATACCAGCATGTAAGTAGCATCTGAATATAAAGTCTTACCGATGTTATTTTTCCATTAAACTCTTTTAACGTGAGTTTAAATGATGAGCATGCTAAAATAATTGTCTATTTTGGTAATTTATTAATCGATAACATGATCTTTATTTATATTTTTGATACGAAATTTGCACTAAATGCTCTTTCAGCCTCTCATAATGGAGTTTTCCTGCTTTTCTGTTTTATTTCATATTAAACTGATTATCTTGGGTTTTAGAATGACAAGACATTTAAAGACATTAGCTTGAACTTTGAGCAGCTTGGTTGACATATTGCAATGTTTTCTAACATAATATACGTCAAATGATTAATTTATAATATAGCTGTATATCAGTAATTAAAATACTACCGACTGCTACATTTAACATTTCCTAAACAATACAGCTGTTCAGAGATGACTTTTAGTGTACAAATATGTACAGGAAACAAACAAATGATAGTTATTGTCTGTCTGTCTTGTTTGTAATGTGTGGATATATATTTGTTTTTGTTTAGCGATGGTGCGTGGCTGGTGGTGGATTAAGGATCCAGAGGAACTGCAGAGCATCTTACAGGCTCTCCATCCGAGAGGCGTCAGGGAGAAGGTGCTCCACAAGCATTTGGCCAAACAAATGGAGCACTTAGCCGAGCTATGCACCAAACCAATCAACGGTGAGTGTGGTAAATGGGTTATAATTTAATACATGACTTCATCTAGGCTTTATCCTTTTCCCCTCCCCATGTTTCCCATGTGTCCCTGGGATCTCCTTAAAACTGTTGCTGTGTTCCTTTCGTCCAGACCCTATATTTGAGTCGAAGGTAGATGAGAAGGATGTTCTATTGGAGACTCTGCAGCAGCCCTGGCAAGTTCAGGAGAAAGCAATGGACACCGACATCAATGCCCTACAGTGGGTGGAGGACCTGGAGCAGCGGGTCATTGCAGCTGACCTCCTACTGAAGGTGAGAACCACCTCTTTTTTTTGTGTGTCTACTGGGATCAGCTAGTGATGCAACAGCTGAGACACTACTGGGACTGGCATATAGCACACTTTTTAATTAATTGAAACTAGCAGGGAATGGTTGCAAAAGTTTATGGCACCTCTGAAAAATACGAAAAAGAGGCAGAGGCGTTTGCATAATTTTTTTTATATACATATCCTGACATGGATAGGTACCAACTGCTCTTGTCAGCATTTGCCTTGGAAGCTTCATGGCTGATTTTAAACACTAGATGGCGTGTTGACCCATTTTCCACCCATGAAGTGACAATTTGTATAAACCGATATGTGCTAAGAGGATAGAGGGTCTCATTTACAACAGTACTACATCTGAGTGGCAGTGAAAGCTCATATCTGCTTTTGTTGTTCTTCAAGGCTCTACCTGAAGGTGCAGTGACCGAAGCTGAACCCAACACAGAGACAAAATTGGCAGAATTTGAGGTAAATATTAAAATACTTGATAAAAATAAATCCTACAAACTCTCTACATTAAACAGAAATGATGTTTATTTAACTTTGACTACTACTCAAACTCTCGCTGGTTTCTTTTTAAGCCTTACACAATCCCAGATCCAGACTCCACACGTGATGATCTCCAGTACTTTGAACACGAAGCCGACCCACGTGATGACTGGATTATTCGAACTAAGAAGGAGTGGTCCGGCCTTCCTCGTTTCGGCACACATCCCGTGGACTTGGCCGTGCTGCGGTTGGCCAACCTGGAGCGAAACATTGAGCGGCGCTACCTGAAGGAGCCGCTGTGGAACATCGCCGAGGTGATGCGCCTCGCTCCTCTCACCCCGACCCCGGGAGAAGAGCATCCCATGGACGTCTTCAGGTGAGAAGAACAGGCTTATATTTACGGTTCAGGGGAGAAGTTTGGTTGGTTTTTAACATATGTTCTGATTTTGATTCAATGTAAATACTGCTATATTTTTTAATATTTTTTAATGTTGTCATAGTTTTCTTAAAATAGTTTTCTAACTTTATTTGACTTTTTAGTTTTACTTTTATGTATGCACCACAACACCAAGCCAAATTCCTCGTACGTGTCAACCTACCTGGTAATAAACCTGTTTCTGATTCTCTTCTGCTTCAGTTTGGAAAGTGAGATCACGTCTCGACTACGAACATGGCGACAGGCTCTGGATCGCTGCCGCAGCGCCCCCCAGGTCTGTCTGTGTATACTTCAGCTGGAGAAGGCCATTGCTTGGGAGAGATCTGTGACTAAAGTGGTAAGAAACATTTCCTCCCAAGATATTTAGTACTTGGACTTTTGGTGGCTTGCTTTTTTTTAGGGAGCACACGGCACAAAATGACACCAGAAATAACCAAACTGACATTTGTTGTCATCCTAATAAGCACATGCTTGTTATCCAGAATTGCCAGGTCTGCAGGAAGGGAGACAACGATGATTGCCTGTTGCTGTGTGACGGCTGTGATCGAGGCTGCCACATGTACTGCCTGAAGCCCAAAATCACCCAGGTGCCCGAGGGAGACTGGTTTTGTCCTCACTGCGTTGCCCAGGTCAGAACCATCCTGTGATACTTATATGAAAATAATAAAATAACTTGCAGCACTAATTAGGCTTTATGAAAAATCTAAAAGTATTTTGTAGCAATTGTGTCCTTCCAGGTAATTTGTTTTGTGCTGCATAGGGTTAGGGTTACTAACCAGAAATTAGTTTATTATATAAGGTTTTGACTTATAAGACATTTCCCTTGGTATCTTAGTGTTTGTCTGGTGCTACAGAGTCACAAAGCTGAAATATAAGATCAAAATATATGAAAACAGGCCAGAACATTGTGAGATATATCAGTTTTTAAAACTAAAAGTGCTGCTCAATTCGTTGCCAGCTCAATCTGATCCATTATCCGCTCTGTCTCTCAGGAGGAGAGTGAGTCACCGCGCTCGTCCAAAAAGAGATTGAGGCTGAAGAAGAGGAGATATGAAGACGATAGCTCTGAAGATGAGAGAACAACACGGCGTTCCAGGGACGGCATGGCGACACGATTCAAGGAGACCGTGACCCCCCCCTCCTCGTCTTCCCGCCCGTCCGGGGAAGGAAGCGCCGCTAAACGTCGCCGCATGACGACCCGAAACCAGCCCGACCTCACCTTCTGCGAGTGAGTGCTGTGGAGCTTCCTGCATGCACAATGATCTTTATTCATCTTACACATCCGGGTTTTTAAAGTCATTATTTTTAAGTCTGCAGGATGACATTCGTTCTGACAGTTATATTGTGATGGATTTGTGTTAATTATCTGTATTTCCTGCCAGGATCATTCTAATGGAGATGGAGGCTCACGCTGATGCCTGGCCGTTCCTTGAACCCGTCAACCCTCGTCTGGTGCCAGGATACCGCCGCATCGTCAAGACCCCCATGGACTTCTTCACCATGAGAGAGAAACTGCTACAGGGAATGTAAGTTTCCCCACTACGTTGTTTATAGAGAGGCGAAGTCCCGCCCATCTACTTCCGACCCATGGGACCTTATTTCGGAAAAATGATGTATTGAAGTCAATGGGGAGAGAAAACGTATCTTTCGATCCCGTTTGAATTGTGCCATGAATTACACATATGATGTTTGTCAATCTTAAAAAATAATTTCCATGTAAAAAAAGTCACAGTTTGTCGTAAAACTGTTGAAATATAAGACTATGAAAAATACGCAACTAGAAAGACTACAAATCCCAGAATCCCGGTCCCGCATGCTGGCTCTTACGGAACCGACTAATGGCGCAGTTCCACTACAGCGCGGAGCTCGCTTTAAGCGTGCCGTGTCGTGCCGTACCCGTTTTTGGTTAGGCCTAGTTACGGCCCGGCCCGGCCCGGCCCGGGGCCACTTTTTCACCTCTTTTCTGGCCCGACAAAATTGTGGTTCTATCGGGGCCAACAAACAGGGCTGAGTCGGGCTGAGTATGCTAAACTAGAGAGGAGCGCTGGCAAGGAGGCTACAACTACAACAAGATGAACATATTTGACCGTGATTTAATTGTAATACACGTTTCAAAATGATGCCGAAGTAACAACATACTGATACCGGTTAGTAAAAACCATGAATTAATGCTTTGTCAAGTTTGCAGACAGACGGCAGGGGAAAAACCTTTTAAAATTCGTGTTTTCCTAGATGGAGATTGGCTAAGCTAACGCAGTATATGCTCCGACCGTCCACACTCACAACAACGGCCTATACAGACATAAATAAAGCAGCGACTGTATTCGCCATGACACAGGCAGTCTGTGGTGTGTACTTGTTTAACTTTTGTCGAGTTTCTGAACATATATAAGGAGCTGTGAGCTCTGAGTGCTAACAGCTAACGGCTGTGTTGTGTTTCTGGAGTTCTCATTGAAGATGACGTCACGGCTCCGCCTACACTGCGTTACTATAGTAACTACCCCAGTTCCTAAACTGTAATGGAAGCGCAGCATGAAGTGAGTCGGCCCAACGCGGCCAAGCCGTACCGAGCCGTACAGAGCGTGGCCGACCGTGTAGTGGAACTGCGGCATTACTCCCCTTGTGTGTATGTACAGCTCTCAACATGCCCAGACTTGTAGTGATTTTCACCTCTTTTAATACTTTCCGCCTCATTCTGAAAGAAAGAAGTGAAATGTACCAACGTGACGGCCGTCTTGGTGTGTGGTGCGAGACGGGAGATGTAGGTAATTGAGCGGTTTCACACCAAGAAAAGTGTTACTTCACAGTTTTAAGACACACTTTCTTGACTTGCAAAATTATCTTTTAAATTGATAAACATCATATGTGTAATTCGTGGCACAATTCAAACGGGATCGAAAGATAATCTTTCTCTCCCCATTGACTTCAATACATAATATTTCCGAAATAAGGTCCCATGGAGGTCCACCGGAAAGGGAGCGACTTCGCCTCTCTATTGGCTCTCAAGCTCAATGTTTAAAGGTTGACTCATCATGGCGCATTCTGCTTAGCTTTTGCTAAACTTTTAAATAAGTTCACTTGCTCATAACAATAATACGTCCACAGAAAATAGTTTAATAATGGCTATACAACTGCAAGTTAAATAGAAGAAAAATCATAAATACAAAAAACTGTAATATATTATACTTGAAGTCTTTTATTCTAAAAAAAGGCTATGGATTGAACAAAGGATTTTAATCTTAGAACAATTTAAAAAAGCAAAAAAAAAAGCAAAAAGGGTAACCAGCGTTATCTGAATTGGCAAGTATATTTACTGTTTTGTCCTATGTTTCCTACTGTCCACTTATAATTGTCTTTAAGTTTTATTGGGTAAGTTAACCCTCCTATTGTCTTCGTTCCCCCCCCCTTACTTTGGTGTTCGCGGGTCAAATTTGACCGGTCCCGTTTTAACTGCTATTACATTAACACAAAAACCATTAATCATCACCAAATTTCATTTAACACCTTTTCAAACTGTAAGTATTGTATCAGACTACTGGTATACATGAACAACTGCAGTAAATATACAAAGAATAGACACTGAACATGTATTGCGTGTGCCAGGTGTGATCCATGTGGGGGGGATGGGCACATAAGAGCGGGAAGTGTGTCAAATTGTTCTGCGTGTGTTTGTGTGTGCCAGGTGTGATTCACATGGGGGGGGATGGGCACATAAGGGGGGGTGGGGGGAAAAGTCCGTCGGCAAGAATAAAAACAAACGTGTGAACTAAAAGGTGTCCGCTCTACTGAAACATGCTCATCCTTCCTCCCCCCCTCTGTCTCTGCCTCAGGTACTGCAGTTGTGAGGAGTTTGCGGCGGACGCTCATCTTGTCTTCAACAACTGTGAGTTGTTCAACGAGGACTCGTCGGAGGTGGGGACGGCTGGACATGCCACGAGGCGATTCTTTGAGAGCCGCTGGGCGGAGTTCTACTCAAATAAGGACAAATAGAAACCCCCCCCCCCCCCCCCCCCCCCCCCCCCCCCGATGATGGGCTGTTAAACTGTTGGTGCTGTCACCGTTCCAGGCACACTCTCTCCATTAAGACTGTCTGGAGGTTCTTCCAGCTATGTGTACTCATGTATAGGTATATATGTATAGATTTTGGCTATTTGTCTGTTATCGGTTTCTCTACCGGCCTAACATTTCCCAGGCCCACAGCTGAACTCTCTTAAACTTGTATCCATTCCCCCCCCCCCCCCCCCCCCCCCCCCCCCCCCGCACTGAGTGAGAATATGTCTCTCGCTTGTCTCCATCTTCACTTCAGCACATCATCACCTGTTTGCGTTCTCCTGTCACGTCCATTCACAAGCCCCATGTCGTAGCGAGGCCTTCGGTCAGGCCCAGCTTGTGCAGTGGTGACGGTCTCAGGCCCCAGGTGTTTTGGCCCTCAGGCTCTTCTCAGGGTCAGGGACTGCTCACACTATTGCAGCCGACCTGCTAAGCACCGCTCGACGACAAAATGGATCAAAACTTCACTGAGCTCGGGCCATTTATTACCTGTTCAATGGAAATGTAATGTAACGTGGTTTTATGCCTAGAAGTTTTTGCTCAATATATTTTTATTATATATTCTATATATAAATATATATACAGATTACAATAGCTGGGATTATTTAATAGCAATAGCGTGTAGTGAATGTGTACAGATTACCTTATAGAAATGTCTAGATGATTTCTGAAAAAGGCCAGTTAAACTAAAAGGAATCTGTTAATGGACTGTCACAAGTAGACGTTGTATAACCTCCACTTAAAGTCTTGCACGCCCCACATTCACACGTTTCACAACACACTATATCATGCACACAATTTCATACACATACCCACTTTCTGCTGCTGTGTGAAAGACACTGGTTTCTAAAACGGGGATTTTTATTAGTGTTGGTTAGTCATGCTATGCTTATATTTCACTGTCCCTCTTCTTAAAAGTAATTTATCACAAGATGTGTTTGAAAGACTATACATCTAAAGGATGCAATTTTGTTCTTTTAGAGTATAAAACTGAACCAAGACAGGTTGGTGTTTGCAACTTCAAACCCATATTTGAGCATCTGATCCATGTTCAACATTTTCTTCTGTTTGTCTGTATTTAATCTGATCGGTTTTGATCTGTGCGAGGATAAAATCCTTTAGATCTTAAAATGCAAATGACTGGGCACATTCCTGCTTGTTTAAAAAAAATCTTGCATTCATTTTTATTGGTTTTTATTTCTTGCTGTACAAGGGCCAATGTACGATGTTGTGCGGCATGGATGGTGTGCTATGAAGGCGACAGGACGACTCCACAGTCTGGGTTTTATTTAAATTTGTTTCATACACTGAGTTTAAATCCATTGATAGGAAAATTCAACTTTTAACGTTCCTTATTACACTTTAAAGGGACAGACGTTTTTTCAAAAAAGAAAAAAAAAAGACTCGAAAACCAAACGTGGTGTCAAGTGAATTTTTAATAATGTACAGTTTTGGTGACTTTAAATTTGTTCCTTTATATTTTTAGGACCAATTCATCATTTTTAAGAGGAGGTATTACAAGACTCTGTTGTATTAAGGTGATGTAACACGTGTGCATCTGTAGAATGTACTGTGAGTTGAATAAAAACCACATCTAGTAGAGAGTATTTTTCTCTTGTGCCTTATATCTGAATCTTTTTCTCTGCATTCTCCATGTGTCTCTTTGCTTTTGCGTTTCTTCCGTCAGTAAAACATGCAGGTTAGGAAGTATTGCAACTCTAAATGGCTCATTAGTGCATTCAGGCAATAATGAGCAATTTAGAGTTGGTCTTTGGTTACCAAAACAGAAAATATGACTGCCATTTTGATTCACTTTATATTCTGAGTGATTAGGATACTATTCAGTTATACGTCGCTTCAATAATAAAAATGTGACTTAACAAATAAAGCTTTTTTACACTATCTTAAAGTAAAAAAGTTCTTCAATGTTTGATTTCTCTATTTTATCTATATTTTGCAGAATTTGAGTCTTGATTCTCATTACATCTTGAGGGTTTCTATTTAAATGTAGTCATTTTTGGGGTGCTGGTTTGCTGTCCTTATTTGACTTGCATACTTCATATGAATTTTTTACTCACTGATATACAAATTAAAATAAAGTTTCCATATGATTTTTGACATGTTATACTTAGACATTTTAAACATATAATACTATTTTCAACTTACTATACCATGACCTTTTTTTCGACATTTATACTTTTTTATTTTTACAACATACTATTCTTTGAAATATTCTCTACTATAGTATGAATTTTTGACTTGCTGTTATATTCTTTTAAAATGTTTCCATATGACTTTTTTTTAATATACCATTACTTTTCTTTTTGACATACTACGATTTTCTTCAACATTCTATACTAAGACTTTTTACGACATACTACCTGGGATGCTTATTATTCAACAGACAATACGAACTGGCAATAACAAGGGAACAGCACAGACTATACCCAGGGGCGGAGGGATGATTAGGGACAGGAGAAACCAGCCAGGGCAAAGCAGGTAATCATCAGCGAGGGAAACACCAGGTGGAAGAGAGGCAATACAGGGTCAGGCTGTGACAAGCATGTCTAAAAAGAGATTTACATTAGTCTGTCAAAAAAAGTAATATTATAGTATGTTGAATGTACGTCGTAAAAAGTCCTTGTATAATATGTTGAAAAAGGTCAAATGGAAACATTTAAATACAGCAGGTAAACAATTCATACTATAGTTCAAATAAAGGAATAGTATAGTATGTCTGAAACAAAGGCATGGTATCGTACATGACTAAAAAGTCATAGCATGTTGAAAAGAAGTAATAACATCAAACAAGATTGTATTACAATATGTCAAAAAAGGTATAGTACAGCATGTTGAAACAAGTCACAGTTTAGTATGTTGAATAAAGTCATGATATATTACGTCAAAAAAACTCTTGGTATAGTATGTCAAAAAAACTAACTATACCATGAGTTTTTTTGACATACTATACCAAAATAACTCTTGGTATATGTCTAACAAACAACAAAGTATAGTATGTTGACCAGCATACTCATGAAAAGGTGACTCTTTTAAAACATATCTACATGTATGCAACATAAGCACAGCCACATGAAATATATCACATTTAAAACCATGATGGAAAAGTGCTGAAGTGTTTGGGCGGGGCTCTGCAGCTCCGTCCGTGGAGGGTCCTGTCTGAGGCACATGCTGCTGGGAACCTCCTGCCATCACCCCCAGCTGCTCTACAGGGCAGAGACTCAGGAACAACACATTCACACACTTTATTTTAACACTTAAATGTACATAGTATATAAAAACAAATGTATAGGGATAAAAAGATGGATATAGAAAACATATATAGTGTGTTTAAATTCTTCTGTCCCTCTCGTTGCCCTCTATCGCTCATTCAAATCCCTGAGCTGGCGCTTTGTGTGAGTGTGAGTGTGTGTGTGTGTGTGTGTGTGTGTGTGTGTATATATATTTGTGTGTGTGTGAAATTATGTCAGTGTCAGCACTCTGGGCGGTGGGGGCTCAAAACTCCCCACGCCAGCGGGTTCCAGTGTGCCCCCACCCCCCCCGCCCTGCCCCCCGCCCACACAGTCGGGCTTAGCCCCACAAAAGGGGGGATAACAGTTTAACAGTTGCCGTGGAGAGGAGGGGGTAATCCACGGCATAATGGGGCACCCACCCACCCACAACCAACCAGTTCATTCTGGACTCTGTCTGACAGAGTGAGGGTCCCTGATGCCCGTAAGGTCAGAGGAATCAGATCAATCTCCAAGCATCTCCACATCATGTCACCGGCTCCTATTCTGCTGCAGACCATATATAATTGTACACAATGTCAACACATCTCTATATAATTATAGTAAATGTACAACAGGAGCTTCTCCAAATTGTCTCAAGTGGAAAATACTTACTGAAGCTAAAGTACCTGGTCTTAAGGAGAGAATATTTGTTCGATTATTCTCAGCAATTTGATAAACAGTAACCACTATAGGACCTCATCTGCTCCCCAGCCCACTGTATGACAACTTGGAAGTTTTCTGGATTCTTTATTTCTTTATTTATTTAATCGTTTATTTGGCGGGGACAATGCACAATAATGAACACTTAAAACATTAAAATGTATCAAGCGTAACAGTGCCAGATTTAGCTAATTTCCATCCGCAGTCCCTCACATAAAACATTTAAGAAAATGACATTTTACAAACATAGCAAAAACAAAATACATGATATGCAAAAAGAACAAGAGCAGCATACACAAGTATTTACCACATGGCAGTACAATATAGCAGCTACGACATATAAAGTGCAAGAGAAGATACAAGAGCTAAGTGACAGAGGAGATACCCCTGTGTTAAAGTGCATTTAGCGGTCATTGCACGTCTGTTTGTTTCTCAACCATTTTTTGAATTGACCTTTAAAGCTATTGAGAGTGGGACAATCCCGTATCTCAGTTGGGAGGCTATTCCAGAATGAGCTGCCTTTAATGGAAAGGACATTTTGTCCAAAAGTGGTCCGTCTGCGGTGGACCTCACAGTCTCCTCTGGTTTCTGACCTAGTGCAGCGTTCAGTGTGTTTTTTGTGGATGAATTCCCCTAAGGGAGGGGAGGGGGGGCCAGTCCATGTAAACATTTATTAAAAAAACACATACTTTTAAAAGACTTAAAATTGTCAAAGCTCAAGAAATTGTGTTTTTCAAGGATGGTACAGTGGTGGTATGAATATGGCTTTCTGTCAAACACCTTGATAGCTCTCTTGTACAGCTGTTCTATTTGTTTAAAGGTCCCATGTCATGGCCATTTCTACTGATCATAATTCCATTGTTGAGGTCTACTAGAATAGATTTATGTTGTGCAATTTTCCAAACTCACATTGGTTTCTCATACAACATCTCTGTATAGTATGTGTATTCACAGGTATTCACTCTCTGTCCTAAACGGCTTGTTGGAGCTCCTGCCCCCCCCCCCCCCCCTCCCTGTGAGCCCAGTGTGCTCTGATTGGTCAGGACGTTGCGAGGCTCGCTGCTCAATGATCTGGCTTACTGGTGTGGTTTCCGGGTCGGCGATACAGCGAGGCCTGTCTTATTGTTTGTGTTACCTTGTTACGAGCATGAGTGAATTTCTGTCTATCAGTGGATAGTCTGGATTTCATAGCTTTAATAGTTGGTCTCTAGATTTCATTAGATTCCTGCATTGTAGATTCAGCCAGGGAAGTTCCTTCCTATCCCTAAGGTTCCTTCCTATCCCTAAGGTTCCTTCCTATCCCTAAGGTTCCCTCTTTGAAGACATTGCATCGTTAATTTGAGATATAAACAGATTACTGTTTTCACCAATGTCTTCAGAGGAGAGAGTGTCCCCCCAATCAATCATTTTCACTGCCTCCATAAAACGTTGTTGCAGGTTTTTGGGGATGAAGCGAGAACCGAAGGCAGGGGTTTTAGGTGTGGCCATGAACCTTTTTTTGTGAGTTTCCTGGCAAAAAGAACAAGATTATGGTCAGAAAGACCAGTCAGTAAGTTGTAGGTTTTAACTATTCTGTCAGCTGTGTTTGTAAGATATTACTATGTTGGCTTTTATTGCTATTATGATCAAGTGGGTTGGGGATACATCTCTCTCCTTTTAATTGTGGAAAACCCTTATGAAAACTCTGAATCTCTTAGGGCTTAAATGATGTTTGGCGATTATTTTGTTCATGTACAACAACATTGTTTAAAACTGTTGTGCTCTGATGACTACATGAAGGTTGTGTGTGGAAGTTCCTGTTGCCAGTTATTTTAATACTCAGTATATGGTGCTCAACAAAATAAATAATAAATTAAATTAAATGGTGTAAAAATACTGCAATTAAAACAACGATATCCAGATGTTAAAAAGCAGCTGCGCCTTGTTGCTTGCCCACATCACAGAGGTGCCTGTTATCAGTTTGAACTCAAACAGGGGAATTCTGTGTGTAAAACCAAACGTCTTCACAAGGTGCGCATTTGTCTGATATCAAAGAGTGAAATTAAAAGCATGCACTGATGCAGCATCATAATAAGTCTCTATGGCAACAGCATCATGAAAGAGTTTATCCCCATGGTGACCCGGAGCAGTACATCACAGGTATTAAGTGGACAGAGATGAAAAAGGAGGGTTAAAGGACATCACACTTCAGGTCTTTGGAAGATGTATAAATTGCTCAAGGTCAGCAGAATGGGGTGCTTTGGGAGAGTTAGGGTGTTATATACATGCAACCTTGTGTGTGTGCACAGGAAGACTTGATTGGTGTGGGGTGAGGAGAGAGAGACTGAGAGAGAGGGGAGGCTACCCTCTTCAAAGGACCTCTCAGACTCTACACGTTAATGAGGGATTTAGACCCTGAAGCCCTCAGACCCTGACAGCTACACACAGGCAGAAGGACGAGCACACAAACAGACGGACATACACAGAAAAATACATACTTTTTGGGTTTGAAATGACGTGGCGTGAGGTAAGCATTTTATATACTTGTCTGTGTTGCAAAATACTCCTTGATTTGGCAGAAGCCTGAATCAAATACGCAGCTACTGTATGAGCTAAAAAACATTGCTTTAACCAATTAGTTGCAGTCCTTTATGTATTCCCATTTCAATGCACTTTCAATTTCCCCAGGACTTTCTTATAGGCCAGAATGTTAGGATGTGTTATATTTCGGTAAATGTGACGCATTTCAAAACCATTTTTGTAGACGACTTGTACCGGAGTTGAAATACTGACAAGGAGTTGACTTATTTTGTTAGATATAATGATAGTATAAGGAATGTTTATGATTCTCTTGATTTTCTTTTTATACACTTTGACATTTCTTACACTTTTATAGCAGTAGAAGGTCTGTCTTATAAAGTAGATTCAAACAAATTTGTGATATTTCGGTTCGTTTTTGATCATAAATCCAAGCTCTGGTCGGAGTTTGAAAAAATACATTTGGTGATCTAAATATAGGCCACCTTTGTTTATGTCTCCTTTCTCCATGGAGCTACGAAGTCGGCAGTTCTGGTGCGCCATCCTTGCTGAGCTGCTCGGCACCATGATCCTAGTGAGCGCTGTGCTGGGGGCCTCTGTGCCGGGCCCGGGAGAGGCCTCCACGGGACCCCTGTACCCAGCAGTGGCAGTAGGGGTGTCAATTATTACGCTGTCACACTGCTTTGGAGAAATAAGTGGGGCACAGGTGAACGTCTCAAACATTTTAAAATTGTGTTTTTCTTCCTCTGATAGATTTGCTCTGCTGTAGGTGACATAGCAGTTTAACTCAGATCCTTTACTCAAGTTAAAGCACCAGCACCACTGTGTAAACATACTTTAATATCAACAACAATTGAGTACAGCAACATTATCTAGAGTACAAGCACTCATTACGACTCATGTTAGAGACCTACTATCATGTATGACAACATAAGTTTGTTAATGTTGTAGCATTTTACATTTTGTATGCCAGTCTAGTGGCTGGGCCGCCCCGAAGGGTCACAAGATAAATTGCAACAAGAATTACATTCAAACAAAGTTCTGCAACATTAATCTGTCATATTCTTGGTTTCTTTCTTTATTCTTTGCGTGAAAAAACAACAACACTGTGGATACTTTGACTTCTTTGAGATTGAAATTGTGGTTTAATGAAACCATCTGAGAAGTTCGAGGAGAAATCAGTTTATGGTGGGAGCACTCAGGGGCCACAACTAGAGACACCTTTTATTCTGTATTTTACAATCTTGTAATATGTCGTCTTTTCCTTGTGTAAAAATGTATAAAAGTACATCTAAAAGTACAATATTTTCCCTCTGAAATGTAGTTCAATTGATGTAAAAAGCATCATAAAGTACCTGAGTACATTTACTTTCCACCCCTGGCTGCTGTTGGTTTATAAGTGTTTGTTTTCTCTGATCAGGTGAACCCTGCAGTGACTCTGGCTCTGTTGGCCACTCGCAGGCTGGATGTTCTCAAGGCCGTTGTTTATATCGCTGCACAGTGTTTGGGGGCCACTTTAGGAGCCGGGGCCCTCTACCTGGCCCTGCCAGTCAAATCCACTGCAGACATCTTCGTCAACAGGGTCAGTCCACAGATTATAAATTGGCTACCTTTTAAAGAATTTCAGAAATTACATTCTTCCCTTCCTGTTTGACCTCCCTCAGGTTCCCATCGAGCTGAATGCAGCCCAGGCTCTGGGCATGGAGGTGTTGTGCACCTTCCAGATGGTCTTCACCGTGTTCTCAGTGGAGGATCAGCGACGGAGGGAAAGCACAGAACCAGGAAACCTCGCCATAGGATTAGCCCACACTGCTGGAGTGCTAATAGGGGTAAGAAAAGCTTAATGCAGAATAATTATCAATACATTAACTCTATTCAAAATGTGTATAAATTAAGAAATTGTTCAACAAAACAATAAAAAACACAAGTTAACAGAACGCTCTTACTTTGTAATGAATAACAGCAAAACATTATAGGTTATCTGGACTTAACCACTTTCATTAAAGCAAGAGAAACTCTTTTATTTGAACAGTTTTTACTTGAAATGTTGATTAACAATCTTAACAATCTTTACAATATATATAATCTTTAATGTTATTTCATATTGTGAAATTACATGAATACTAAACACAATTGTCTAACAGAAGCTACCTTTTGTCAGACCGCTGTAGTTTCCTTGAGATGCACTTAAATAACTCTTGACTTAATTTGTGCTGTTTTGCTGTCAGGGGCGCTTCTCCGGTGCCAGTATGAACCCTGCACGCTCTCTGGGTCCAGCCATCATCACGGGTCTATGGGGAGACCACTGGGTGAGAGAGAGCATCAGAATCGACATGCTTGTATGCATGTAAACATTCATGTTGTCATAAAAAAAAATCTTAGTACAGTATGCCATAAAAATAGATTCTACTTTTGATACTTTCATAACACGAAGCTGCTAATAATTCAGCATTTTTGGATGCAAGATTGTTGTATTTAAAATAAATAAGCAGCCTGTATATAAACACTTGATAAGTAGAAACATTACTCAGCTGATATGCTCATTTATTCATCTTCAAGATAAAAGTGGAACTTTCCCCCCGTCTCTGTAGAAATCCTATTATAATATATATTTTTTCTCTGTTTTGCCCACCTGCAGGTTTATTGGCTTGGCCCGGTGATGGGCTCCATACTGGCCGGAGTGTCCCACGAGTTCTTCTTTGCACGCAGCGCCTCTCGCCAGAAGTTTATGGCATGTCTGACCTGTAAGGACATCGAGATTGTTGAGGCGGCCAGCATCACGGGATCGTCTCTGTCCACAGTCACACAGAACGCCATCAGAGCCAAACAGGCCAACAACTGAGGACACAAGCATGAAGAAACACATACATACATACCCCTATACACACACACACACACACACACACACACACACACACACACACACACACACACACACACACACACACACACACACACACACACACACACACACACACACACACACACACACACACACACACACACACACACACACACACACACACATATTTGTAAAGATGCATAGTGTGCAGGTCTTCAGAACATCAGGCTTTTAAACAATAACCAAAACTATATCTACAGATGAAGTTAGTGTTGGGACAATCATTTAATATTCCAGTTAAAACGTTTTAAAGCACTTTATGAATGAAATGAAGAAATAGTAAACATATTACTTGAATGAAAGTATTAACAGCTCAAGAGCAAATTCAATTGTCTTTTAATTTTAACATTGACTTTTGTTGATCTCCGGCTTTCTTTCAAATGGTTCATGTGGAAAACCATTACACCCCGAAATGCATTATCATGTTAATCAATTCATATTTTATTCTAAAAATGTCCATCGTTATTTCCAAATCCTTAGGTTCTGTTGGGTTATCAATGATATTTAGTTTACAATTACATAATACATTTTAGAAACTGGAATCCTTAAATGTAAATATATCTATAACCAGAACAGGTGAATATCTGTTGTCTGTAGAGTGAGACATTACTGATTGATTTACATCAATGTAATGTCCAAAAACTGATTTGCAACTGTTTTAAGGATCGCAGGCTCTGCTTTAGATATGGCAATAAAGAGATGAAGCCAATATTTTGACAAAACAATATTACTCAGAAACAGACATATTTTACGAGTTGACTGTAGAAGAAAAGTGGCTAGGAGGCCAGGACAAATGTTGTTGAGTAAAAAAGTCACGGCCACTTTTACATTTTTAGGGATGATGATAATATGTAGTATAATAATAGACACAAGTAGAGAAGAGTAATACATTCTCAAACTATTTAAGAACAAACAAATAAACAATAGCTACTGGTCATAGTAAACTAAGTACCATAAACCTTAGAGAATATTTGGTTGGTATATTTTATTGATTAAATGATAAATGTCAATTATTTGGCACGATTTGAAGTTAGTATTTTTGCAAAGCATCATGTCCCTGCAGGTATCCTTTTTATTTTGTATTTTTTAACTGTGCTGTCGGTAAGTGTAAACATTGCATGTTGTTTCGGTGGTAATAAGAAGGGCAACAAAGGGAAGGATGCTTTGAAACTGTCACTGAGTTCACCTGACACATTATAGAGTGCTATCCTTTCAATGTCTCGCCTGAAGCATTACCGGTATATTCTGCAGGCGACACTTTCTGGATAAAACTCATCTTTCCCTGCTGCTTTTGTTTTGAGACAAAGCTGCATTTAAAGGGGCTGAATGCGTCCTCTGAGGTCCTGGTTGGCTGTCATTGCTGCATGTAGAGGTGCAGGCAATATTGTGAAATTCAATATTGTTACTTTCAAATTTGCACATCATTAAAATATATAATGGAGACTCATTAAAACCCAGCAGAAAAACACTCTTATGTTTGCAATTTTTAGTTTCATCCCGCAGCTGTGAATGCTTTGAAATGCTAAAGAGGTCCTTGCACTGCATTGTGGGTTCAATGATTCTCCAAAATGTCTGTCATGTTCGTGCCTGTTATAGCGTTCGTCTATTCTCTAAGGCATCCTATTCACAATTGAATGGGTCTTCATACCTCTGTAATGGCTCCAAAGAAAGGACACCTTCAGTGGAAATAAGCTTTGTAATCTGAAGTGTGTGTGTTTTTGTGTGTGTAAGTGTGTGTGTGAGAGAGAAATAATACATTTTGCTTTTATGAAACCTTTATACGTATGGGTGTGTTTGTGGTCTCAGCTGTTTGTATTAAAATATGTTTTGCATGTAATTGAATGGGTGAGTCCAGCCCACATTACAAAGCAAACTGTGTTAGCCATGCACAGGAAGATGGTTTACTTTGTCTGAGTTTTAGCAATATGTGTCTGTTTCTTACCAGTGGTTATTGAGCAAATATGTCAAGTATGTAAACTGGATGAACTTAACCTTAAAAAATAATATGATTAAGAGTATATATTTGATTTGATGTATAACCAGAATATATATAAATAAAAATAAGTTAGCAATCAGTTTCACTTAAACACACATACACACACACACACACACACACACACACACACACACACACACACACACACACACACACACACACACACACACACACACACACACACACCACACCACACACACAATGTGCACAATGGCTATAACTGCCACAGTGCCGCCAGCATTTTGCTTTGTGTGTGTTCTTTCTAACATGTATAAAAGGGAGTCAAAAAGGCAAGCTCAGCATTGTGCATTCATCGTCTGTCCCCCCCCCCCCCCTCCTCCTCGCTCTCACCCCCCCCCCCCCCCCCCCCCCAACAGTGATGGCTCTTGACTGGTCAGCGCGATGCCCCAGTGCTGCGACCCGCCGGCCCCCCCCACACTCCCTTTACTCGTCCTGCAACACACACACACACAAATATACAAACACATACAGAGATATACAAACACACACGGTCACGTAATGAACCCCACTGCCGAGCACCTCCTAGAAGCCCCGGTCACACCAGAAGACACAATCACAAGCAGTGTTAGGACAATAATTGTTGTTTTGTTGCTTTTTGTTTGTTGATTTGTGTTTTTTCCACGTTATCATCACCTTCTGCTGTCTCCACGACACTGCTATTAGCTGTAGAGCGGTGACAGCTCTGAGGCAAACTCAAGTTCACGTCTAAGAGTGCATAACCACAGGCCTCTGCTCCAACTGCTGCCTCGTAAAGACAACCTGTTATCATCGGCAGTGCTTAGTGGTGTAATTTTCTCCAGAACAATAAAAAGAGGCAATAAACATTATCACTTTGCATATTTAAGACAATACTTATTTAACTATTGCTCTGTTTTAATATGTATTTTTGTCTTCTTCCGTCCATACGTAGCACACATGCGGCTAAACACAAAGGTTTCACAGGGTCAGGCGTTTCAGTGTATGGGTCAGTTCAGCGCTGTTAGCTTTGGGCACTTCCGTCCGGGGCCCCAACTATTATGTGCACTTGTGTATATGTCTATGTGTGTGTGTGCATGTGTGTGTCTTTGTGCACGCATGTTTGTGTTGTCTGTCCATGTCTATCAGCATTTGTGACCACTGAAAATGACAGTTATGATATGTCAACAGATGACATACGCCCCAAGAAAACATTATTTTCTTGGCTCTAGCTGACCCCCTCTCAAAGTTTCACGCTGAATTTAAGATACAAATACTCAGAGTCGTCCCTTTATCCTAAAACTCTCACCTCCCACTAGATGTCTTTTATTGATTTCCACTCATCTCATTTTATCTGTGTCTTTTTCTGGGTTACCTCTCTTTTGGCCTTGCTCTGTTATAGGGGGGCGACAGAGGGGTTAAGTTTGTTTGATTTAGGATGTCCAGCACTGCAACCCCCGCCCTTGGCCATATAGGGGGATTATGGCGTCACCTGGGGCCCCTGGGGGGGTATTATAAAGCCCCTGTCTGGCCCTCTCCACTCCGTCAGAGAGGCTAAAAGGTCCACCGGACACTGTCTATCCCCGTCTCTACTTTAGAAAACCCCCTTTAGCATTGATCCCCACTGTCTCTTGACAACGCATCCCACCTGAGACCTCCACCCACACTTCCACATCATCTCACACCTATGTCTTTGCGACAAGTGGACAGAGGTGGCAAACGCTGATTTGACTTTACCAACCCGGTTCACGGTTTGGTAAAGATCCTTTGAGTGGATTCGTCTGTTGACGTTCTGAGTGTTTTTGGTCAGACTACAAAAAAAGGGAGATCCTTTTTTGTTATTTTTGGCGCTTGCCGAAGACTTAAAAGGTACAGATCTACCTTTTCTAGATTTATTTTTAGTGGAGAGCCTCTGCTGAACGGTCACCATGTGGGAGTTCAGGTCAATGAATTTTTGGCGGGCGGTCTTCGCCGAGTTCTTCGGGACCATGTTTTTCGTGTTTTTCGGCATGGGTGCCGCCCTGCGCTGGACCACCGGGCCTCATCACGTCCTGCATGTGGCCCTGTGCTTTGGGCTGGCAGCTGCCACCCTCATCCAGTCCATCGGCCACATCAGCGGCGGCCACATTAACCCTGCTGTCACCTTCGCCTACCTGATTGGCTCACAGTTGTCTCTTTTCCGCGCCATTTTCTACATGGCCGCCCAGTGCCTGGGCGCTGTAGCTGGGGCCGCCGTGCTGTACGGTGTCACACCCGGAAACATGAGAGGAAACATGGCAATGAACACGGTAAGAAACCAACAGAGATGTTTCAGAAAACAAGTCCAGCATTGATCTCTGGGTAGGCTGATTTCAACTATGCATTGCATGGCATACATTTTAAAGTTAAGGGTGTTATCATCAGTGAGGTATCTTATCAGTAAAACAAACCTTTGAAGCCATGGTCTAAACTATAAAGAACTACCGAAAAATGTGTTCAAGTAGCTCATTGTAAATAAAATACAAATTCAGTAGTATTTATTTATTATTTCCAGTACAGCTCTGAGACTCTGAGATGTCATTGACTTATGTAATAATATTTTCATCCACCTGTTGTATCTCCAGCTGCAGCCGGGCATCAGTCTGGGAATGGGCACCACTGTGGAGGTTTTCCTCACCATGCAGCTCGTGGTGTGCATCTTCGCCGTGACCGATGAGAGGAGAAACGGACGCATGGGATCTGCTGCCCTATCCATCGGCTTCTCCGTCACCATTGGACATCTGATGGGGGTGAGACGCATGGAAACATAAATATCAAATAACAATGACGTATTTTAAAACACAGATGCAGCAACAAGTGTCTTGTGTTGTAGATGTACTACACCGGTGCTGGGATGAACCCTGCCAGGTCCTTCGCCCCTGCTGTGCTCTTCAGGAACTTTGTCAACCACTGGGTAAGACCTGCAGGCACTATGAATCTGAGAACGTAATATATTTAGTGAATAAATGATAGGTCAAATTGCTATAAACATATTTCAACATACGCTGCCGTAACAAATGAATTTCCCAATTTGGGATGTATAAAGTCTATCATCTATCTATCTATAGAAATGAAAGAACATTATCTAACCTAAAGCTGCTGTTGTCTGCCTGCAGGTGTACTGGGTGGGGCCCATGATAGGAGGTGCAATGGGCGCCCTTCTGTACGATTTCATGCTGTTCCCCCGCATGAGGGGTCTTTCCGAGCGCCTCGCCACACTGAAGGGCAGCCGGCCCCCAGAGAGCGAGACCCAGCAGGACACCCGCGGGGAGCCCATCGAGCTCAAGACGCAAGCCCTATAAACCGGCCCCTGCCCCCCCCACTGGGGCCGAGGGATGAGGGACAAGGCCCTGAGCTACGCCAACCCCACCTCCGCCAACGCCCCATGCCTTCACACAACATCGCACTAGACTAACCCAAATACTCACATCTAGACTAACACATGACAACATTTATTTTCCAGAGCCACTGTAAAAGAAAACCTACAAACAGGTTCACAACCTTCAACCTCAACACACAACAAGACTCCTCTACCCCCCAGTCCTCACTCTGTATTCTCAACTGGACATTGTGTTTTTCATAAATGGTGTCCAGAGCCTGAACCAGCAGCCGCCTCGTCTCCTCCTCCCCCCCCCCCCCCCCCCCCCCCTCACCCGCCTGCTTCCTCCTCTCAGACGAGCTTTCATCTGCGGCTCAGAGGAGCGTGGAAACCCTGAAGTTGGGTGGAGAGGTTTAGGGAGGCAGAGGGGAGGTCAGAGGGGAGGATGAGGGTGAGGCGGGGATGTGGGTATGATATAAGAAGGGTAAGAGGGCATGGGGCAGATGAGGCTGGAGTTAAGGGGTGGGGGTGTGGGTTAGGGTTAGGGTAGAGAGGGCAACACTCTGGGTTTGTGGTCGTTTCAAGTTGGGTTAGACCAGTGAAGATGGGCATGCTTTTCATTATTCATCTGAATTTATCTCCATTTTAGTTTTTTTTTTAAGGTTCATTTTGTTTTCTGCACTTCAGACACAAGACGTGGATGTATGATACCATTAGATTTTACCAGGGTTTCAATATTTTCAATCACTACATTTTATCTGTGGGTTTGTGTTTGTGTGTGCGTGTGTGTGTGAGAGTGAGTGTGTGCATGTGAGTGCGCCTGCCTGTGCGTATGAGTGTGTTTGCAAGTGAGTGTGTATATGTGTGATCAAGATTGCAGATACAATACTTTTTATTTTGTTTTATTTTCATTACCGCTCTCCTGTTTTGTTCCATTAACTGTGTTCATTTTGTCATCCATTTTTAAGACATGATCATTACTCCTCCCCTCACTGTGGTATTTGCTATGATATTCATTTTTACATAAACCATCTGCTTTTTTGTTCTGAACCAGCACATCCAAAGGAAATGTTGTATCCCAGACTTTGAGAGTATCTGTTCACTGCAGATCGGCTGTGCAAGCTTTACATTGAGTCTCCTTTATTATTTGATCCTTACTGGGAGCACAAGGTGTTTCAATAAACATTTCAATGATAATAAACATAAAAACTTGATACGTGGTTTGAGTCTTTTTTCTTCTTTTGCATTTTGTGGAGTTGTGCAAGGCCAAAATATTAAGCTGCAGTTAATAATTTTGGCCAGGGGAGGGCGAAAAGAGCCCACGTCACTCCCACATTTAACATTTAATTAGTTCATGAATGCTTTTTGGACGAAAAATAATCATCAAAGGTTAACGTTCACAATGGGTTATTTGCTTTATCAAAAATTAGTAATAGTTTTAAGGGGTGACATTAGTTTGAGGCATATAGAGAGATGTGGTTAAGGGAGGGGTTGTTAGGTAAAAACAGGGTTTACCCAAAGGCGTACTATTGCTGGTCTTTGATAAGAAACACTTTCATTAATCTCCCTTCTGTTCTTGTCAACACTGCTGATAAACAACAGCATGACTCCACCCCAAGAGCGCTGACAAAACAAAGACAGTCTAGTGTTATTCTCCATTTTATGTTCAACAATTCCCATGAAAACATCAAACAGTAAGTTCATTCTACTGTAAAGTATTGTCTGTTCAGCCAAAACCTGATATATCTTTGCCTATGTGCCATCGAGCTCCATTGTGCTGTCAAATCCGTAAATAAAACACATCAATGAGCCACACTGTTGCACTGGGTGACGCTTCCCTTCATTATCGTGATCCTCCGCATTTCTATTTTATGTTGAGACGAGCCTACAAACATTGACCTGTTGCTGGAAATCACTAGAGCGAATGTGTATCAGTCCGCAGCAGAAAGTAGTCCCAAGCAAATACATCGTGAGGTGTACATTTTGAGGAATGAGCTGAGATCCACAGACAAGCATGAGAAGTCTGAAAATATTGAGAGAAAGATTGAAGGTGTTTTCATAGGATTTGTTGTTAAAAAATATAGAAATATAGCTGGCTTTGTCCTTTAACTGTCATGGCAGGTGGAAGAGAGATACAGTGCAGTCACATAAACGACAATCCAGAATGAACAGTTAACGACATAAAAATAAATAAAAATGAAAGTGCTTCCTTATTTAGATTCAGAAGCCAAGATAGATATGAGTAATATTAACCACAACAGTTAATTTTAAACAGCAGCTGGTTAGCTTAATTAAGCAACACTGGAAACAGAGGAAACAGCTTGGCTTAAATGTCACAAAATCAGCCTAGCATCACCTCTAAAGCTCAGTAATTAACACCTTACTTTAGATCTTGTTAATTTAATATTTACAAACACAAAAGTGTCAAAACAACAATCCACTGTTTTACGGGACAATTTCTAAACTGTTACCCAACAAGTAAAGGTAACCTTAAAACAAGTGTTTTTCTTCTTTGTTTAAAAGAAAAAATGTAATGTGTTAATTAGTGAGCTAATCATCTTCTTAGTGTGTTTCCCTAAATGTTAAACTATTCCTAAAACCAATGTGATCCTCTTCTCCAAACTTTTTCGAGTCCGTTTTTGTAGAGTATCTCGATGATAGACAAAATATCTTATATGACTGATGTATGACCCTAAAAGTTCTTGGTAGTATCATGCAGCATTATATCTTTAACCACAATAACTGTAATTGAACCACAATTAAAAAAGTCTTATTACGAATATTCATTTTATTTTGCATATTTGTTTAAAATGTGATGTATGGCTTGGTTTATGACTTTACTAAGGTGGCGCCGCAGCACCGTGAGACTCCAGTATCATCACTGCACGACTGTCTTGTTTTCTGCAGATGGGAAAAACAAAACAAAGAAACAACTCTGAGCAGTACAATGGGCTGGAAAAGGAGCTCGGTCCTGACACTGGCGTATACTGCATCGCTCCATTTCTCTCTCACTCAACTCACACACAGAGACACCAAATACACTCACACACATTCAGTAAAAACATCACCTACATCCAAACACGTGATATGTATTGACAACTGTGTCATCTAAGTATCATTAAACCGAACAGTCCCCATCGACCAAATCTAGACACTGCTGCTCCAAATAGGCTAATAAGCTGCTGCTGAAACATAATGAAATGACTTTAGAGTGTTAACAAAGACCTTCTCTCAGTGATATCTAGCGGTAGCGATATAAAAACAAAATATCAGTGTTGTCTACCTTATTAATGTTCATCCTTTATCATCATAATTGCATATTCTGTTAAACTGTGATTATCACCGTGAAATGACTTGCCAGCGGTAGATGAAAGGGACCGCAATAAACATTTTGTTCATTTGAGATGAGAGACTAATCAGAATGACAAACACAAAGTGAACCAGGTGGAGAGAGATAGGGGGAGATCTTTAAGGCCGTAGACAGAAAGGTAACCTTGCAGAGGAGGTCATTGGACCGTCGTTTCTGAAAGAGGAACTCAGCTTGGCTAATATCCAGCATTCAGTTCAGTACCTTTGGAGAAACTGCAGCCGCAGCATCATGTCAAACAGACATATTTCTCTTTGTCTTTACATGTCCGCTCTCCAGCAGTCGGCCTGCCTCCAACAGCAGCAATAAGATAAAAACGTCCAGATTACCAGCCGTCCTATTCCAGTCCCTGACGTCTGCCAAGTATGAAAAACATTCAGATCGTATGCTCATGACAGTAGCATCGGAACATTTTCATCAACTATTACAACAATAATAATAATAATATATATATAAAAAGACAGGAATGAGAGTGTTTTCTTAAAGCCCTTTTGATTACGTCACACTCTCTCCCTGGTTATCCAGTCTCATCCAAGATGAAGTCACAGGTCAACAGTCACGCTGCTTTGAATCATCAGTCCTGCAGCTGAGGGTCGCTCACTGCATGCGGTTGGGCTGGTGCAGGGGGTAGTGCAGGAAGGCCTGCGGTGGGGCAGACATGGCGCTGAGTGCAGCCAGGGAAGGATGCATGGCGGTCGGAGGGCTCGGGGACGCGGTGAGAGTGGGCGCCGACGTGCCAGGGGAGAAGCTGTAGCTGAGGAAGCCGGCGGAGGGCGAGGGTGAGGCGGCGTAGGGGTACTGCTCCAGCCCGGGGTGGGCGTAGTGGCTGTAGGCGGAGCTGTAGTCCAGGTAGGGGGAGGCGAGCGCTGCTGAGGGGCCGAGCTGGGACTGCAGCAGCAGGCTGGGCTGCAGGAAGGCCTGGGGGTACACGTACTGCTGGGCCAGCCTGGACACAGAGGACATCATCAGTCAATTGGTGGAGAAAAAGAAAATTCAAAGCCATCAATAATAATAGAATCACAATTGTATTCTGCATTTTGTATATTTTGTAAGTAATTACTGTTGTCTAATTTATTTTTTCTAATGTACTTTTAGTTATTTTTATTTAAAAAAAAAAGAAAAGTGGTTGTGCTTTTGGTTGTAAAAATAGAAACATAATTCAATTTTCTTCTCGTTTAATTTCTGCGTAAAGACAACAAAAATGTCATGTTCCAGTTTCTCAAATTTAAATTTAGTCTGGTGTACTGTAATTGTAAAATTAACAGCTTGTGTTTTATGGCAGGTCTATCTAAAGAAGCATTTGCATATTTAATACTGATATCTATATACTGTACTTGTATAGTGTTTAATCTCTAAATTATTTGGTGGCACCCAAAGACTATAAATCTTAATTTTATAGTCTCATTTTAATAATCAGTCTATGGTGGCACCTGACTGAAGAAGCAACTACAGTTTTATCGTTAAGCCAATGACAATAGAGCTCTTAATATGTTTATATGACATTTTCATATCTTTACATGTTTGCAAAAAATTTGAAAAACACATGTTCATCAAAAAACGGAAGAAATTACAGAGGACTGACACATCCAAATCTGTGATATCCGATGACAACGCTGCAAAATCTGGAGAATGTGTGTTCAAAACGTTGTATGGTGTGAGATCTCTTTTGATTATTAAGTGTCAGTTAAACAACAGTAATCAGAGACAGACAAACAATCAAAGCCAGCAGCTGCACGTTTCAACATGAACAAACAGACTGTAGTTTCTTCACTAATTGTATCCCAAGATTAAAAAGCTTGAGTCCTATTAAGGCGTCCTCTTCCTCCTTTAAGAGCAATTATCAGCACTGTTGCCT